AGTAAGTGCTATATAAATTTAGCTATTATTATATAATGCCAGTTGCTTGACCAGGCTTAGGGGCAAGGGACAGTAGGAGATGAGCAGAATAATGCCTGTTCAATATCAAAGCATTAGTTTGCTGTCAATTTTAGGATTTCATTTAGGCAGTTGTCAGAGATATGATTTAAATAGCTGTGTGGTTTTTGTTTTTGATTTGTTTTTAATTGGCTCCTGGCATCTGTTCTAAGATTCGGGGGCTAAACAGGGAATTTGCTCTGCAAAAAAAGTACATAGTGTGTTCTCTGTACCTTGTCCCCTTGTCCTGGCCACAGTCCTATGATTCAGGTAATTGGGGACTCAGGCCCCTTACTATGTGACGATTGAAACTGGTGAGTAGGCACTCTCAATGTGTGTATCTGGCTTAAAAAGAAGCATGGTTGTATAAGGGTACAGAAACAGAAAACACTCATTATAACTAGAACTAAATATAGTACTCTCATCTTTAAATGAGAGGATGCAGGATAGAGCTGGTAACTTCTTTATAGATTATCAAGTGCTTGCTCAGCTTAACCTGCCTTTCATTTATTTTTTTAAATGCTAAAATCATTATAGATAAAAAGGTGTTTTCACTCTGTGGAACATTTCTTCCATTTGATTGTATTAGATGAAACTGCTCATTATATCTGAAGACAATAATATAGACCGCAGCATTTTTCACAGTTTACTAAATCACCAAAGGACTACTACCAATGTGAAAATGCTTAGAAAGCAGACTAAAGTTGTAAATAGTAACAGATTTTATGTACTTAGCTTGAAGATTTTCATTACACTTTATAAACAAGAGCAACATATTTGTTTAGCAGTTACTGCCACGTAAATTGTAGTGTTATTAGGTATTAGAGAACTAGCCTTAAACATTTCAAATTAGTATTTTATTTCTTAAGACTTGATTAGGATTTTTTATTCATATGAACTTTTTCTATTAAGTTAATTTTCACAGCTAGAATTCATTCTTGTACTTAATTCAATCTCTTTGGCAGTTTTCAATTTAAAGAATTCCATGCATGTTCACAGACATCACTTTCAGTAGGGTAAAGCATTTTGTTTCTTGATTTACAGCATTGAAGCATTCAATTTAAGTCATTAGCTAAACAGAAGTCCTCAGTTTATGCTAATGTTGTTTTGTCATAATGTCAATCAGCCAGTCTTGCCAAATGACATTGTGGCAGTGAATTTCATTGTCATGAATCTGAGAGTGCTTTGGGCTTTCCTTGGCAAAGGGCAGAGGTGGGGTGTGTCTCTCATTTTGAAGGAGCTGCAAATTCAACCATGGGCAACAGCTACAGAGCTTACTAGCTTGTCTGTATCATTTCTCCTTAGGACACCCTTATACAGCACATAGAGGTAGTTCTAGAATTGCAGAACACAAGGAAACCAAATAAGGCTATATGCCTTTTATACTTTTATAAAGTATCCCTTCAGTCTTCAACTATTGGTTTTTCTTTTCTTTTTCTTTTTTTTGTTTCTTCCTTCCTTTCTTCTCTTTTTTCTTGTAATTGTCAGTAAGAGAGAGAAGGTAGTGTGATATAATGGATAAAGTCAGTGGCTCTGGAGTCAGAGAACCTGGGTTCATATCCATCCTCTGATACTTTTTACTTTTGTGTGACCTTGGCCAAGTTATTATTCCTCAGCCTCTTCATCTATAAATGAAAAGGTTATATCAGATGGCCTCTGTGATCTCTTTGAGCTGTCCAACTATGATCTAATGTTGGCTGCCATCTTTTTCCTAAAATTCCTGTGATATCTTTTCCTTCATCTTCTTATCTTGCTACAATGAAAAGAAATAAAACTATTCTTTAAAGAGAATCTTAAATATTATCTAGTTAAACCTCTTTATTTTACAAATGGGAAAACTATGCTTCAGAAACATCCTCACTTAGCAGAATTCACATTGCTGTTCTGTGATAGAGCTCTAATTATGGCCCAGGTTATCTAGCTCCTAATTATGGATTCTTTCTGCTACAACACTCTCTCTCTCCTGTGTTAAAACACTATTGTATTCAAATCCTACCTCAGACGTTTAGGAACTTTGTAACCGTGGGCAAATCCCTCAATATCTCTGGGCCTTAGTTTTCTCATCCAGAAAGCAGGGGACAATTATACCTGCAGTGCTTACTTTGATGTGAAGATGAAATGAAATAATGTTCATTAAATATTTGTAAACCTTCAAGCACAGTATAACTGTCAACTCCTGTTATTGTTTTGAAAGGGTTGGCAGTACATTAAATTATTGTCTTATTTCATTTTATTGTACTGGTGAAGCTCTTGTCTTTAGCAGTCTGTTGTAGGCTCATCCACAAGGGTGAAGGTCAAGAATCTGGACTAGAAGTCAAAAGACCTCTTTTAGTTTTAATTGCCCCATCTTTTCTGTCAAAAAAAGCCATGCCACTAAACCCTCTTTAGCCTGTCTATAAAATGGGAATGATGGTGTCTATCCTGCCTCCATCATAGGATTGTTCTGAAGATCAGCTGAAATAGTGCTCATGGAAAGTGCTTTGAAAAAGGGTTGGTGTATGACCAGTGTGCCTATTTATTTTACTGCTTGCCTATACTTACATGTTACAAGGAAAGGTGCCTGTTTGGGTTGCAGAGCTGGGCTAGTGGGTAGTTATAGAGCTGCAATTTTTAAAGAGTATCAATAAAAATTAAAAAACAAGTAAAAAGATATTCAGAAGGGACACAAAAAAAGTCAGGCAGTGTTGTTACTACTATGTTAAATTCAATATACACTTTAAAAAATAAACTACATCACAGCAACTTATGATTTTATATACAATCTTTTTGGTATTTTATACTAAAATGTGTATTTTGGTGATGATTGTTAAGTTCATCACAAAAGTAAATTTGAACAAAACAACTCATGTTAGGCTGTGCAAGTAAGGTTATTATCTTAACTGGTCAGATGGTAAACACCTTGCTTGATATTGCTCTGGTTAATTAAATATTGTAGCTATTATTAATCAGTATTTTGGTTAACTCAGTATTCTAGTTAATAGTTATTAGCAATATTCAGAAAGTGACAGCAAGATAAAACATACTCAACAATAAAACTTTATTGAAACACACTTCATTTCATTAAGGACTTGTGGTGTCTTCTGTATGGCAACTCCTTCCAACTTAGTGAGATGCCTGAGGCAGTGTCGAAATTGTGTAGCTAGCAAAATGTCCGAAGCAGAATATGAACCCAGGGCTTGCTACCTCTAGGACAGCTCTCTCTTCATCTCTATGCTACTTCTCTATGCTGAGTATTATTTTTCCTCAGCAATTCAAGGAAGCCATGCAGAATGTTGCAAAAACTTCACGTCACAGCTATGAACATCAGTTTTCATTGTGTTCCCAAAGTACAAATAAAGCTAGCACTGTTGGACGGCATGCAAGATAACAGAACAATTAGGATATTAGCAAACAGCTCCCAAATTTAGCATTTGTCAAGTGAATCATTTTCTTGTTCATTCATTGTGTTTTCTTCTGGATTATTGATTTAGAGCCGGGAGATCCTGAAGGGTCATCTGGTACAGCCTCTCATTTCATAAACGAGGAAACTGAGGCTCAGAGACTTTAACCGACTGACCCAATGACATATAGATAGTAAGCAACAGAGCTGGCATTCCAACCCAATTCCACTATTACAATTGCTTTCTGCAGAGCAGTTTCTACAGTATATATACCCACTGTGCAACTATTTGAACATAAATTACATACATAAATGACTTCATTACTTTGTAGTCCAGTGTATATAGTGCTGGACTTAGAGTCAGAAAGGCCTGGATTCAAATACTGCCTCTGACTCTTAATGTCTGTGTGACCATGAGCAAATCCTGAGTCTCAGGCAACTCTTTAAGACTTACCAAATAGAGGAAGTAAAGAGAAGTTAGCAATGTCATCATCTTACTTTCCTACAAAGAACCTAAAGTATTTTGATAGAGAAAAGCAAGGTATTCATTTAAATCAATTTAATGTTTTCTGAATGAAAATTATATTTCTGGACCTAAGTTACCTTAATTCTTAATAAATTTCATGAATGAAAAATAAAGTACATTTCTACCAAATTCTAGTAACAAGAAAGACTTGATGACTATTACTATCAGCTTGTAGAGGAGCTTAATAATATTGAATTTAGAAAGGACAAAAGTCAGCCAATACTTACACTTTGTTTTTCTTAACTGTTAAATATCTGTAGACATATTCATGATGGACAGTGTAGATTTGATTTACATCTAATCATTAGTTAAGAAGACTCAATTTAATCAATTTTTTGAGTAACAGAAAATTCTTTTGTTTGAAGCCTTAATCTCTGTTTTTCACAACTCATTTAATTTTTTACAAACTCTACGTAATGGAGATGGGTCCTCTTTCTATTTTACTTTGTGTCTGGAAATGCTCATTTTCTGTGGTGTTAAACTCAGAATAAAAACTAATCATTTAAAAAAGTCATTTCCTTTTTCAGTCCTATTCCTGGAAATTACAATTTTACAAAGAGATAAAGTTTGGTTCTGTCTGTGGACATAATTTGCAAAGAAATAGCAGAAGTTATAAGCCAGTTCTTTTCTGTCTACATGTGCTGTGTATGATCTTAATAATTCAGACCCTATAGTCACAAATATACTGCGAGAGCGAAAACCAAACCCCTTTTTGGTGTTTACTGGGATCTTATAGAATACTAACAATAGTGGTTTTCTGTAATCTTTCCAAATAATCTGTGAAAGAAGCTCGAGGATGTCGATTTGTCTGGGTTTCTACATAGCCTGTTTTGACAACTAAAAAATGTTTCTAAGAAAGTTTATACCTATCTCTATCATGTCCTATGTATCCATGTTAAGTATTTTACTTTTGGCATGTCTACAATTAAAATTCCAGGTTACTTTGCACAGTGAATTTTTAAATAGCATGCACATGATTAATATACTGTTCTAAACATCAGATTACCTTTTTAAAAGTAATTTTTCTTACCGTATTAGGCCTTCAAAAATGAAATGGCTTATCTGCTGAATGAGATTCTTGGAGCAGTAGTAGAATATTGGATATTTCTTGGTCTTAAGAAAGACAAAAATGTGATGAAACATATGTCTGCTCTAGGAAATCATGTTGCTGTTTCTTGTGATGGTGAGTATGTCTTTGGATAGATCGTTGATTATTTTCAGCCTTACTCAAGGAATTAGTTTTATGTTTTTTTGTTTAACATTTAGCAAATATTTGTGATATTTTGCCACTTATGTCAACTTTCTATTAAACTATTAATACTATTCCTATTAAACTACTAATAGTGCACAGTGATAAAGTATATTTTAGTTTACAAAGCATTTTTTTTTTACATTTTGAAGTAATTTATTTTAAATTACATGAAGAAACAAATGGCATTTTATAGCTTGTAATGAGTATTGAACAAAGCATGAAATCCAACTAAACTTCAGGTATGAAGTGCATTGCTGTATAAAAATTCTGGTTAGCATCTGGCTTGCAAATAAGGATCCCACATTTAATTGTGATTCAAGATTTCTCTTTGACTTAGGGCAGTTTTTTTTTAGATTTTATTTTTTAAATTCAATTGTATTTTATTTTCAGTTTCAAATTCTCTCCCTCACCCTCCTTGTTGTTATTCAGTAGTTTTTCAGTCATGCCTGACTCTTTATGACCCCCTTTAGTGTTTTCTTGGCAAAGATATTGGAGTGGTTTGCCATTTCCTTTTCCAGCTCATTTTACAAATGAGGAAACTGAGGCAAACAGGGTTAAATGACTTGCCTAGGGTCACACAGCTAATACGTATCTGACGACAGATTTGAATTCAGGTCTTCCTGATTCCAGGCTTGGTGCTATAGCCACTGTGCCATCTAGCTGCTCTTCCCCCTCCCCTATTCCCATCCATTGAGAAAGCAAGACAAACATGTATTGTTGTGCAAAACAAATTCGTGAATTAGCTGTGTCCAAAAAAAAAAAGAAAATATGTTTTGGTTTGTGCTCCAGAGCCTGTCTGTTCTCTATCAGAAGGTAGATATATTTCGTCATGAGTCCTTTGTACTTGCAGTTGGTTATTGTGTAGATCAGAGTTTCTAAGTCATTCAGAATTGATCTTTATAATATTACTGTCACTGTTTAAGTTATTCCTCTGGTTCTGCTCACTTTACTTCGTGTCAGTTCATACAAGTCTTTCCAGGTGCTTCTGAAGCCATCCCCCTGGTCATTCCTTATAGCACAATAGTATTCCATTGCATTCATCTACCATGATTTGTTCAGCCATTCTCCAGTTGATGGGCAGGCCTTCAGTGTCCAGTTCTTTGCCTCCACAGAAAAAGCTGCTATAAATATTTTTGTACATATCATTCCTTTTCCTTGTTCTTTAATCTCTTTGAGGTATAGACCCACTAGCCGTTATAAAGCATTTTCACAAGGAACAGTAATCCTTCAAGGTAAATAGTGCAAGTAATCTCTGTTTTACGAATAAAGAAATTGAGGCTAAGCAATATTAAATAGCTTGCCATAGTCACATGGCTAAGTGACAAAGCCGTCATATAATTCTGGGTCTTAACTTTATTTCCATTATATCATGCTACTTCTTCCAAATTTAATCATTTATCTGTGTTTTTAAAATGTAATTTAGGTTTTTTATTTGAATACAGATTGTTCCATATGAAAATGATAATTTGACAGAAAAAATGCTACGCTGTACAAAGTAAAGCACTCCATAGTGTCTTAAAAGTCTTTCTTATATGGAACAGTTTAGTCTAGCATTGTCTACTTATCTCTACTTATTCTAGTAGCAGAATAAATCATTTTAATAAATTTTCCTTCATCCTGTGAAAGAAAAGAGAACAGAATGCCTTATAATTAAGGATGTATTAGCTCTTTTAGACTTCTAGCCTAGAACAGGTTGTACAGGTAAAAATTAAGCTAGATCAGTCTAAAGTGGGATCCAACCACTCCTTTTCCTTGGAGGATTAGTCCCATTAAATATTACCAAATTTTATGAGGGTTTCTGGTTTTTTTCTGGTTCTGCTCATTTCATTTTGCATCAGTTCATATAAGTCTGTCCAGGTTTTTCCTAGAGCATCCTGCTCATCATTTCTTATAGCATACTAGTAGTATTCCATCACAATCATGTTCCACAACTTGTTCAGCCATTCTTTGCCACTAATAAAAGGGTCTCCTTTCAACCCTATCCATCCTCAAAAATGTTTTGCTTCTGATTATTGCCTCCCCCATTCTGCCCTCCCTACCAAACAGTGCCCCTCCCCGCCCTCCTCCACACTCCCCTTTCCCTCCTACTTTGCTGTAGGGTAACATAGATTTCTATATCCAATTGAGTGTGTGGGTGTGTTTGTGTGTTATTCCCTCTTTGAATCAGTTCAAATAAGAGTGAGGTTTAAGCATTCCTCACCAATTCTGTCATTTTCCCCTCTTCAGTAAAAGCAATTTTGTGTGTGTTTTATGTGAGATAATTTATTCCATTCTGCCTTTCCCTTTCACCTTCTCCCAGAGCATTCCTCTTTCTTGTCCCTTAATATTATTTTTTTAGATATCATCCTATTATATTCAACGCACACTTGTGTCCTCTTTCTATGTATACTCCTCCTAACTGCCCTAATGAGAAAGTACTTAGGAGTTACAAATATCATCTACCCATATAAGAATGTATTGAATCCCTTATGATTTCTCTTTCCTGTTTACATTTTTATTCTTCTGTTGATTCTTATATTTGAGTCATATTTTCTATTCAGCTGTGGTCTTTTCATCAGGAATGTTTGAAATTCTTTTATTTCATTGAATATCCATTTTTTTTTCCTTGAAGGATTATATTTAGTTTTGCTAGGTAGGTGATTCTTTGTTGTAATCCTATCTCCTTTAGCCTCATATTTCAAGCCCTCCGATCCTTTAATGTAGAAGCTGCTAAATCTTATGTTATCCTGACTGTGGCTCCACAATATTTGAATTGTTTCTTTCTGGCTACTTGCAGTATTTTCTCCTTGACCTGGAACTCTGGAACTTGGCTATACTATTCCTTCATTTTGGGATCTCTTTCAGGAGGTGATTGGTGTATTCTTTCAATTTACATTTTACTCTCTGGTTCCAGAATATCAGGGCAGTTTTTCTTAATAATTTATTGAAAAATAATGCCTAGGATCTTTTTTTGGTCATGGCTTTCAGGTAGTCCAGTAATTCTTAAATTATCTCCTCTGGATCTGTTTTCTAGGTCAGCTGTTTTTCCAATGAGATAGTTCACATTTTCTTCTATTTTTTTTTTTTCATTTTTTTGATTTTTTTTTCTTGATGTCCCCTGGAGTCATTAGCTTCTGGTTGCCCAATTCTAATTTTTAAGGAATTATTTTCATCACTGAGCTTTTGGACCTCCTTTTCCATTTGGCCAATTCTATTTTTTAAGGAGTTCTTTTTTTCAATGAATTTTTGTGCCCCTTTTATCATTTGGCCTGTTCTGTTTTTTAAGGTATTATTTTCTTCAGTACTTTTTTGTGCCTCATTTTCCAAACTGTTGACTTTTTTTTTTCATGATTTTCTTGCATTATTTTCTCAATTTTTCCTGTACCTCTCTTATTTGATTTTTAAAATCCTTTTTGAGCTCTTCAAGAATTATTTTTGGGCCTAAGACGAATTCACATTTTGCTTTGAAGCTTTGGATATAACCATTTTGATTTAGCTTTTTTCTTCTGAGTTTGTGTTTTGCTCTTAGCAACTTTCTATGGTCAGGTTCTTTTTCTGTTGTTTGCTCATTTTTCCAGTCTATTTCTTGACCTGTAACTCTAAGTTAAAGTTGTTCTCTGCTCCCAAGGTTGAGGGGGCCTTGTTCCAAACTTTGGACCTCTCTTGATGCTGCTACTCCCAGACCTAGTTCTGGGTGTCTGTAAGTTTTCAGTTCTTCTAAGGTGTTATGATCTAAGAAGAGGTGTGATTCCTGCTCTCCTAGCCTATGTTGTGATCTGTGAGCAACCACAAGCACTCTTTTCCTTCTTGAAGCTGTGACCAGGTTACCTACTTCCCCGCGGCCTCAAAGTCTGGTATGCTAATGCTGCCCCTCACCCTGGAACTGCAACCTAAGACAGTGACATGGATCTGCATATGAGCAATGCAACAGAGTTCTGCACTCACTACCGGCAAAGGGACCCCTATAATTTCCTGACCAGGTGTCCAACCCCTTTATTTTCTGTGGCCTGAGAACTCCAGAAGTTGATACTGCTGCAACTGATTCAGTCACCCCCAAGCCTGCTGCTGGTTTGCTGAACTGGACTCTACTCTCACCCTAGTCAGTAGATCTTTCCTGCTGACCTTCTAAGTTGTCTGGGGCTGAAAAATTGTTTGACCCCATCCTTTTGTGGGTTTTGTCACTCCAGAATTCCTTTTGAGGTGCTATTTAAAGGTGTTTGTTTGAAAATTGGGAGTGCTCAGATGAGTCCCTGGTTTTTCTCCATCTTGGCCTTGACATTGATATTCTAACTATTTCATTGGATGATTTAAATGAGCACGACCTCATTAAAAAAGGAAATTTTAAAAATAGGAATGATTTGTGTACATGGTTTTACCACTCGATTCCCAATTATAATCTTATCTCTTCCCCAAAAAAACAAAAGAAAAAAGAAATAGAGGGAGAGGATTGCAAGAATGTGCACAAACATACCTTGAAGATATTGTGGGTTCAGTTCCATACCACTGCAATAAAACAAATAATACGACAAAGCAAGTCACAAAAATTTTTTGGTTTCCTAGTGCATATAAGTTTATTTTTACACTATACTGTAGTAGATTGAGTGTATAATAGTCTTATGTCTAAAAAAACCCATGTGCATGCCTTAATTAAAAAATACTTAATTGCCAAAAACTATTAACCATTATCTGAGCATTCAGCAAGTTGTAATCCTTTTGCTGACAGAGGATCTTGCCTTGACATTGACGGCTGCTAACTGGTCGGGGTGGTGGTTGCTGAAGGTTGGGGTGATTGTGGCAATTTCTTAAAGTAAGACAACAGTGAAGTTTGCCACATGAATTGGCCATTTCTTTCACTTGAACACTTAAAGGTCACTGTAAGGATTTTAATAGGTCAGATATCAATATTATTGCATCTCAGGAAATAGGGAGTCCAGAAGAGAAGGAAAGAGATG